TCTGCAAATGAGAAAGATTTAATACCATGTAAATTAATAAATATGTACTGCATACTTCACTTGACTTACGAAGTGTATTAGAAGCCTTGTATGAGAAGTGCATAGCCATTTGGCTCTGGTAAAAGCAAGACATATTAATAGTTTCTCCCAGTTTGGCAAACACAGGTGGATTATTCAGGTGCGATGCAGTAAGGCCTAAACAAAAACATTAAAAGTAACAAGCAAAATTTTAGCTTAAATTAATGTAAATATAGTTTAGTTCTGACATAAAAGACAGTTCAACTCACCGATGAGAAAGAGAAGCAAATATCCAAAGTTGATCATATTCCTGACAGATTTATCCTAAACTAGTAAGAAACAGATGAGCAATGACAAAACGAGCATCACCAGAGATGCAATGAAGGACGTGAGCAACCCGAAGGATGTGTTTATGTCAAAAAGTGCTGTGCCAGATTTTTTTCCCACTGATCTTTTCTTTCAGAGATGATTTCTACTTTTAAATTCTCAGGCAAATAACTGCATGAGTAACACCAGCAGCCACCATCAGTAAATACCTTTATATATGCCATTTTTAAAAGAAGTATGTTTAGAGAAAATTATTTCTATAACATAAAGACATAAAGGCAGTGTGCTAGTTGTGGTTTTCTGCTGGTCATGTGGTAACTTGACCTTCTTAAGTTCTAAGTAAGTGTTTCTTGACTGCATAGCAGATGAAGGGAAATCAAATGTGATCACAAAACTGTGCAGTCATCAAAATTGCATCTTATTTTTTAGTGAAGAGAGCAGACAGTGTAAATGTGTCTAAAATCTCTCTCGTCAGATGAGCCTGATATTAATCAAGAACCTTTTTAATAGGCTACATTAAAAGATTAACAAAGGATGGACTGAACTGAAATCTGTGATGACCACAGCAAAATCACAATGACATGCTCAAGACCTTTAGCCTTGTGGCTTCACAGGCACACATCACATCAGCTTCAGTACAAACCGTGAAAGGCTATATAATATGATCATGTGGTCTGTATGTCCTAAAAAGTTTAAACTCCAGTTTCTTGTTTTAAATGAATAGTGGCTTCATGTCTCTTCTGATGGCAACATATTTCTAAATTGAGGATTTTTTTTCTGTTGCTTTTTTTAATGATTGTAAATATACATATTAAAAATTTAAGCCGAATTATGAAAGACGAATGATTTTTTTTAAATTAGTGCCCAGTTTTATTAATTAGTGCCCAGTTGCACAAAACTCCTTAAGAAAAGTAAAAATAAAATTAAGAATAAAATTAAGAAACCCATTAATGACATACACTTATAATTATAACAAACATTTGTGATGTCAAGACTTCATGTCATCACCCCGTAACCTATGCATACCCACCATCCAGCCAAGTGTTTTGTAGACAAAAGTAGGGTTGGCTATGATTTTGAAAACCACTAGAGGGCTGTAGTGAAGGATGGCAATTACTCAAATTTGCTAATTAGATATTTTAACTTTAATCTGCAAATGAGAAAGATTTAATACCATGTAAATTAATAAATATGTACTGCATACTTCACTTGACTTACGAAGTGTATTAGAAGCCTTGTACATGCTTAGGATAGGTCCAATGCACATAATTAAAAGTGTAACATTATATATAGTCCCGCAGATGTGCAACCTGTTTTATTAAGCTGTTGTGGTGTTCATTCACATTGTTTCTACAAGTATTGGCAGTGACATAATCTAGAAACAATGTGAATGAACACCATAACAGCTTAATCAGCAAATTTTGCAAAACACAAAATTTATGTCACTGCCGATACTTTTGGCCACGACTGTATATATATATATAACAGATGACAAAGCACAAATTGTAGATAAACAGATATGTATAAATAAATATATACCAGAAAATGCAGAGCTATTTATTCACAAGAAAAAAAATTACAAATTTAGTTGTACTAATATTGTTAATATATGTTAGTAAGTTCAAGATATATCACATAACGTTTCCATTTACTAATCTAATTCATTCGGAAAATAGCAAACATTTTCAGAGCACTGAAAAAAAACAACACCAACTAAACAGTATAGTGTAATGTGGCCATCATCACAGCATATTTTGTATTTGATTATGCTCTTTGTAGAGAGTTTTTTTTGTTGTTTTTTTTTTGCAGCTATATCACATATGGGTCTGAACCTGACTGGCCTTTTCATTGATAGGTCTACCATAGTTTAGCTGTGCCAAATGCCACTCCTCCTTATATATAAAACACATCAATATCGCCCACTTAATTTCCTCTTCAGCTCTGTTTTGACTCAGTGCAGAAATGTTACATATTTCAGCTACAGTTTTATTGCTCTTTGGGATGGGTAAGATTTATTTTATTTATTTATTTTTTTTACTATAAACTACAATTCTATCATTAGAGACATGTAATAAAATCTTTGTAGAGTTTAAAATGGGAAGACAGATTCAAATGTGGTCACATTTTAACAGAAAATAATGTTTTGTGGTGTGTTATGGTTTTACTTTTCTTGTTTAATTTCAGGTTTTCTCCAAGTTATGTTTTCGATAGCAAGTATACAGGCTCATCCAGGACAAAGTGTCACTATGTGGTGTTCACACAATATTCATGTTTCTGGAGAACTGTACTGGTTCAAACAAACAGACGGTGCTGTACCCATTACTATTGTGCACATGTTATACACCGAAAGTCTTCAGAAGGTTGAGCCAAATTATTTCAACAATTTCACAAAAGACCGCATAGTCATGGATCAGTTCAGCAAAAGCACCACCCTAACAGTTAAGCAAGTGAAAATGTCTGATTCTGGTTTCTACTTTTGTGGAGCTACAGGATATCACATGAAATTTGGCAATGGAACAAGGCTTCAAGTGAAAGGTAATCTTTTTGAAGTTCTCTCACTGTACTCTGATTTTTATACTGTTTATAGCTCTTTTTTCTCACTTTGTCATTAATAGCACATGTTGAAAAACACCACAATTTAAATACCTTTGTAAATGCCACAGTGGTAAATGACTTATCCTGGCCAACTGTTTTCATATCAGAGAAAAATTACACAGGAACCTTAAAAAAGGGTAAGTTTTTTTTAATCTCAATATTAAAGTTAAAACCACATGTTTTTAATATATTAATATTCTTGTTTAATCTCTCTAATCAAATTATGGGGGGAAATAATTCTATAATGTGTTCTTTGTGGAACCGCTTAAAAAGTTTGATTGAAATTATATCCACTCCTTTACAGATCATGAGCAATCATCCGTGTCTACTGAGGAGTGTTCTAGAAGCATCTATTTCAAACTGACACTCCTATTTGGTGGAATCATTTTTTTTACATGTATTGTTCCTCTTATTTTGGCGATTATCAGGGAACACAGGAAGCAGAAGCATAAAAAAGGTAAACTCTTTAAACATGGTTAAAAATATATAGTTAAACCACAAATGTGGAATGAACATTCTAAAATGGCTTTGAAATAATTTTTAATTCTCTGATTAAGAGTAACTGATTGTCTTTTTCTCTGCTTTGTGCCAGTTGCTGAATGTCAAGCACAACAGCATGATGACAAGGTAAACTCAACAGACTTATGTTACTCTAAGGGCTAAGTAAAACCATAGACATAAAAAACAAGCAAAGCTTTGTTTTCTACCAGATCACACTTTCTTTTTTTATTGTAAAGAGCAAAATATTTAATTACTTTATAAATGACTTACTGCTGTGCCTCTTCTATGAGTGATTAATTGCAATGAGTTTTTTGAACAACACATTAAAAGAATAATTATATTTTTGTATAGCGTGTGTGCGTGTGTGTGTGTGTGGGGGGGGGATCATTATGTTATGATTCCAATTGAACAATATTATTTCTAATTCTGTTGGCTATTAAGGACATGCATAGTTGCATTTTCTACTTTTTGCTGTAGAATTTATTTTGGAGGCTAAGGAAAAGGAAAATGTATCCAAATGCTCTAGCATAAAATCCAAGACATTTGATCACTTTGATTAGAATCTTGACGTATATGTTTGTACTTCTTTGCAGGAAAATGATTCAGTAGAATATGCTGCTGTGTATTTCTCAAACAAGAGACTCAAAACAGCAGGACGACATACTGAGGATACAACTGCTGTGTACACTGACACTACTTGAAACAACGTACTCAAACATATTATTAATTTATTATCTGTGGCTTATTTTTAACAGCTAGATAGTACTGTTTTAAGAAATGTAATTACTGAGGAGATCAGAGATCTGTCTTTCCTTTGCATAACTGTATAATGGTCAAGTTTATTAAAATTGTGTTGCCGTTTAGCTTGACTCCTGATATTAATTTAATTGACTCTAGTTCACAAAGTCCTTGAATTTAGATTCCAATAAAATATCAGTCTTTTAGGTTGCATCTCAATTTGGATGCGGATTAAAGTGTCCAGCTAGCTGTTACTCATGAATCTCACTGTCCCAAATACCAGTTTTGATCAGTCATAGACTGTAGTGTTTTTTAAGTTTGCTCGCTCAAGACTAAATAGTTCTGCATAGTCACTTTCATCCTCTTTAAATCAAACGGTTAAACCCTGTAAATCCATTCAACCCTGGGCCTTCAGAGAATTCAAATCAGGATCAAATCAAGTTTAACAATTTGTGGCCCAGGTAGAATGTATGTCAATAATATAATTCAGGAATGATCCGTAAAAGACACGTTCAAAGATACATTCAGGTCAAACATGCATTTTAGTTCTTTGTAAAGCTGCTTTGGAACAATTTATTCTCAAAAGTGCTATGGGGAAACTATGGTGTGCTAAAGCAGTAAAGAAAACATCACATTATTATCAGTATATCTGATCAACAATGAATCTTCTTATTTTGAACTAGTAGCCATGGACTCGCCTGTTGATTGACAGGTCTGTCATAGTTTGATGTAAGCATAAGCCACACCCCCTCACATAAAAAAAGCACATTGATTTCCTCACCTTAATTTCCTCGTTGGTTCTAGTCTGATTCAGTACTGCAATGGTACATATAATAATTTCAGCACTGGTGATCTGTGGCACTGGTAAGCATTACGGCACTATAATTACTTCAATCATGCAAGATTAATGAATTATTTATTCAATTGATTAGGTGTGTTCTATACACAGCATTTCTTGTGTTATCAATGTTCTAAATATTAATATGCTGTAAAATGATTTGTTATTCTTCTGTTGGATTTAGGTTTTCTCACAGCTAAAACATCTCAGTCAACAAATATCACAGCTCAGCCAGGAGATAACGTGACTATTTGGTGTAAACACACCTCAAATATTGGAAAGTACATACACTGGTTCAAGCAAAAAAACTGTGCTGTTCCTCTTAGCATTGTATACATGATGTTACCCTACGAGCTTGAAGTAAAGGCAACATATTTAAATGGTTTTCAACCAGATCGTCTTGTGATGTCTCTGAACAGCAAAAACTCATCCCTAAGAATTTCAAATGTGGAAATTTCAGATTCTGGTCTGTACTACTGTGGTTGGCAAAACTGGGTGATGACATTTGGTGATGGAACACAGCTAGACATTAAAGGTAATACTTTTTTTTCAACAGCACTTTTGTAAAACAGCTTATCCTTATTAAAAACCTTATTCAACCTTATGATTTCCAAAATGCTTCTGTGATGCTGTGTGGATTTTCTAAATTACTCATACATTTCAAATCTTCATTTATTATGCAGAGAGGAGTGATACACCACTACAAAATGAAACAGAAATTACAAATAAAGGTGTTTATCATCTGCGCTTATTTTACTGCTTGTAATATTCATTGGTGTGTGGTGTGTTAGAGTAAAATGTGATTTACTTTTTAACAGATCTGAAAAAGAGCACGATTTCTACAAGAGACTGTTCTGAAAACATCTTTTATAAGCTGACCTTTATTTTTGGTGGTATTATTTTTATTCTCATCATCATTCTGCTCACCACGCTCATCATTAAGAGACAGGACAGAAGCACGCAGGGAAAAGGTAACAGTACATCTATTCATTTCAAAAGATTTACTTACATTGCTGTATATGGATATCATTTGCAAATAACTGTGCAGTGAAATAATTGTAAGTAATAAAAACTATAGGCCATACCTCTTTTTTTTTTGTTTCCGTTTCTGTTGCCGCAGATGCTGATCGCCACGAAACACAACATCATGAGGTAAGCTAATTGTTATAATAAAAATGTCCATTCTCTGAATGTGGAATAAATAAATTTGAATTCTTAACCAAAAAGTAAAGTTTTTTTTTCTTTCTTCATAAGATCTGCAACATTTATTGATAAAAATTCTTGTACAGTTGAAATTAAAGACAGTCGACAGGAGTACAGAAAGATTATAAATACGCAAGTCTCGGCTATTGAAAGGAGTTCTAATGACAATGGCTATAAACTGTAAAATAACTTTTCTAATATCAGTGTTTTTCAATATTATTTTTATGTCGAAAATTCTTTTGAGATACTTTTTTCATACGGCCTGCGGTCCTGCTTCTCTTTTCTGTTTAGCTCTAACCATGTCTTTAAAAAGGACAGCATGGTTTAAATCTTTTTGTGAGAATATGGTTAATTTTTATAAGTAAAAATAAGGCAAAAAATTGATAAAGTAAAGCTTGGAATTTCATAACTGTCCCCAACATCAGAATTATAAGTAAAAATAAGGCAAACAATTTAGTAAAGCTTTTTACTAAATTGTTACTTAAAAATTTTTTTAATTTTTTTTTTTTTAATTAGTACAATTTAAAAATAAAGTAAAGCTTGGAATAAAATCAAATTTCTCGACTATTTCCTAACTGTCCCCAACATCAGAATTAGCAATTAATTATGATTCTAACACCAGATAATGTATTTGGATACATGGTGTGTGTGTGTGTGTGTGTGTGTGTGTGTGTTCACAGTTTTGCTTATATTATTTTCTTCTGTACATATTTGAATTAAATTTGTTAAAATGCCAAATTAAAATTAATTAAATAAAATGAATTAAAATGCCATTAAAGTCATCTTTCAATCTGTTGCAGGAGCCTCATTCGTCGGTGTATGCCGCTCTACAATTCTCAAAACACAAATCCAGAAGAGCAGCCAGAAATACAGAGGATACAGATGTTGTGTATTCTGCTACTAGATAGTCCAATAGTGGCAGCAGTGAAATAATTGTAAGTAATAAAAACTATAGGCCATACCTCTTTTTTTTTTGTTTCCGTTTCTGTTGCCGCAGATGCTGATCGCCACGAAACACAACATCATGAGGTAAGCTAATTGTTATAATAAAAATGTCCATTCTCTGAATGTGGAATAAATAAATTTGAATTCTTAACCAAAAAGTAAAGTTTTTTTTTCTTTCTTCATAAGATCTGCAACATTTATTGATAAAAATTCTTGTACAGTTGAAATTAAAGACAGTCGACAGGAGTACAGAAAGATTATAAATACGCAAGTCTCGGCTATTGAAAGGAGTTCTAATGACAATGGCTATAAACTGTAAAATAACTTTTCTAATATCAGTGTTTTTCAATATTATTTTTATGTCGAAAATTCTTTTGAGATACTTTTTTCATACGGCCTGCGGTCCTGCTTCTCTTTTCTGTTTAGCTCTAACCATGTCTTTAAAAAGGACAGCATGGTTTAAATCTTTTTGTGAGAATATGGTTAATTTTTATAAGTAAAAATAAGGCAAACAATTTAGTAAAGCTTTTTACTAAATTGTTACTTAAAAATTTTTTTAATTTTTTTTTTTTTAATACAAACAATTTAAAAATAAAGTAAAGCTTGGAATAAAATCAAATTTCTCGACTATTTCCTAACTGTCCCCAACATCAGAATTAGCAATTAATTATGATTCTAACACCAGATAATGTATTTGGATACATGGTGTGTGTGTGTGTGTGTGTGTGTGTGTGTGTTCACAGTTTTGCTTATATGATTTTCTTCTGTACATATTTGAATTAAATTTGTTAAAATGTCAAATTAAAATGAATTAAAATGCCATTAAAGTTATCTTTCAATCTGTTGCAGGAGCCTCATTCGTCGGTGTATGCCGCTCTACAATTCTCAAAACACAAATCCAAAAGAGCAGCCAGAAATACAGAGGATACAGATGTTGTGTATTCTGCTACTAGATAGTCCAATAGTGGCACACAGTCAAATATTGTAGCCTACTCTAATGTTTAAAAGCCATATGATCACCAAGACTCTAATATTGAAACACTATTACTAATGCCTTACATTTAAAGTGTATGTGAGCTCTGCAATTATCAGTATTTTCAATGCAATAAAAGTTGTAAAGATCAAATGCATTTGAAAGTTCTAAGAACTTTAATTTAGATCTGTTCATATTTGCTATCATGAAGATATAAGCAGGCCCTTTCTCAAAAGGCAGGGGTTGTGAATGATATCACTTCCTATACAGACCCTGACAGGAAGAAGCTGTTCAGTGTAGAATGAGACGTGCTGAGGGGAACTTGAGCGGACCAAATTACAAAGCTGTAAATATACACACCAAAACATAGTTGTACAAATTATTAAAACTATTATTAACTATGCACACATTTCACAAAAATGTAGTACTTTGTGAGCAGCAGCAGTATAGCCTGACCATTATGAATATACTCATGACAATTTAAAGAAAATGCTATTAAAACAATATTTAAATCTATTTTAAATGTGTGTAAACTATGTTTTTTAAAAAAATCACATAAAGTCTTTCTTAAATGTCTGCGTGCCAGTGTGTGCACCTGTTAGCACATGAGAGCATCACAGTTTGACTGTTTTCCACCCACCAGACTGACCCCCAGCTCATCTCTCAACCACACAAACACCATCACACTACATGCCTTTCACACTACTTTCCATAACCACAGACAAAATACCCCTTGTTTTTAAGTGAGGTGTTAAGTCACAGATGACAATAACTTTAAAAAAATACTTTTATTATGAAAGAGCAATGAAAATAAACTTTACATTTTAAATATTTATCCTTGTCAGAAATTAAAATTCCTAAATTCCCATATTTTTAATGCTTAGTAATTTTTTTAATGATGGTACTGATGGCACTAATAAAAGAGAAGTGAAATTAAAAATTAAATTCAAGACTTTCAAAAAATTCAAAATTGATTTGCTGTCTTTCAAAGCATGTTATCGTTGTGTGCAGAAGCTGCATTCTCTTAAATGGGTGTCTTTTTTATTTTTGTAAAAAATAAAAAATAAATAAAAACGAAACGAATGATAGAACAAACGAATGAATGAATGCACCTTTCAAAAATAGCATGTTCCAGGCCAGGCTCATTAATAAAATCAAAAACTTTACTCTTATTTAATATGATCTGTCACTTATCTTGGTCCAACCTGCAGTCCAAAACATGTTACATGTACAGTCTGTTGTCCAGCATAAAAACTGTAGAAAATGGGGGGCAGGAGAATGCTGGTGATATTCTAGCATGACATTATCCATTTAGTTTACAGACATTTTCTTTAACCCTATAACACAATGCAACGTGTAATTCAAAATATAGGTAAAACTGAAAATTCTATTATATGAACAGTGCACTGGATCTAATATAGTCATATATTTTAGTCTTTTGAAGTGTCTCTGTCAATGCCATTTTATCACAATGCACTGTTAAAGTGTGCAACTGCATGCAAACCACATGTTAGTTCCTTTCACACATTGACTAATGGTTTCAGAAACAGACTTATGCCATAAATACATGTAAGACAATGAATTTGTTGCACAGCGCTCAGGTTGCGGTCAAGTTTTGTTTCTGAAAGTAACTTAGAATAAACAAGTGGCCTTCAGCGCGCTTAGGTCTCTGTGGGTAAAAGTTTCCATCTATCATCTTATTGCAGTGAAACAAGCGTTAAAGTGAAGAAAAGTGAAGAGCTGTGATCTGGCTATATTTAGAGTTTCTCCTCCAGCATTACCAAGCAACCCTCCATAAATAGTGATTATTCACTATCATGCACCTCTTCAATGTACTAAATCACCATGCATCTTTTTTTCTTTTCTTTTTTTGCAGTGGTTCAAAATTTGACACATGCTAATTATGGTACTTTAACATGCTAACAGATCATTTAACTAAATGTTCTTTACCTGAAGGTGCAAGCTAAAACAAATTTGAAGTTTATATAACATATTGCTCAAAGCAAATATATTGCCCATTTGTAATATCATATGTTAATATTCATTTGCTTTCAACTAATGTTGTTTTTAAACCCAAAATCACATGACCTACAGGAGAGATGTCCAATCCTGCTCCTGGAGGGCCAGTATCCTACAGAGATTGGCTCCAACCAGCTTTAACACACTTGCCTGGACGTTTCTAGTAGCTGTGTCCAAAAGCTGAAAAATGTTGCCTTCAGAGGATGCATTCCAAGGTAGGAAGGCATCAAGGCACATCCAATTCCAATGATAGCTTCACTTTCTGTCTTCTGAGATGCCTTCATTTCATTGAATTTTGAAGGCAGCACAGATGTATCCTTCGCTGCCGTTGATGTCCCACAATCCTGTGTGTTTCATTCTGTAACAGTTGAGCTAAAAAAATTAAGATGGCATCTGAAAGTTGTGGTTGGTGGTCAGATTGTGTGTTAATGTTAATGTATGTTTTTGACCAACTTTTTCCACTTTTGAAGTTATTTCTAGCGAGATTGTTGTAGATGTTGTGTCCTGTAGTAGATGTCTGCAGCTGAAACGCCCATCCATCCATTCTCCAAACTGCTTGTCCGATGTAGGTACAGCGTAATATCATACAGGTACAGATTTCTTTTTTTATTGATTATTAAATATTTTTATTAAAGGGGTCATATGATGCTTTTTTAAAGATCATTATTTTGTGTATTTGGTGTAACAGAATATGTTGACATGCTTTAATGTTCAAAAAACACATTATTTTTCAAATACTGTACATTATTGTAGGTCCTCTATGCCCCGCCTCTCTCAAACGCTTCGTTTTCTACAAAGCCCCCTCCTTTGACAAGCGCAGTCCGCTCTGATTGGCCAGCTGACCCAGTGCACTGTGATTGGCCGAACACCACAAGCACACGTCGGAAATGAAACGCCCCTTACCATAAT